CGATGGCGTTTTATTATACCACAGTATTTATAGTGAGGTACACATTTCTGTCCGTCATGAGCCCCCGAGCCTGTTTTCCAGGCCTCAGGCTCGAAAATGACATTACCAGAACAAATGACCATAACTTCACTTTTAAAAGGGTTAAATTAATCATCTTTTTTCTCAAATTAATGATAAACCTGTGAGTTGGATGTAGAAAAGTCAGAATCAATATAGATTTTTTTGATTTTAAAGTAAATTCAGATTGAACATAGTAAAAAAATGTATATTATAGTGTCCGTCCAAAAATAAATAATTGCTTATAGTGAAAACAACCCTTGAATGATGGGATAGTAGACTAACAACTTTAGGAATCCAAACTATAACATATAGTAAGTACCCTGTATCAAGATTGATGCAAAACAAGTGACATGTGACCTTTTTAGAGAGATTTAGAAAAAGAAACCCACTTCTGAGGTAATTTGACCTTTCTCTGGAACCCCTTGGTCGATTTTGATGATTGACATCTCTTTTTAACCGTTAGAACCAATAGAATCGAGGGGAAGTTCCTAAAATCCATCAAAACATTACTCATTGGTGAATGAGTGATGCGCAGCCAGAATGCCCAAAAAAGGAAGCTATCATTAGCAGCTAATATGAAAATTCAGTTTTTGACATACAAATGGAATGATGGATTGTCAGTAATTTTTTCAAAGTGACACAGACACATTGGATTAACCTGTTAAACAAGACAAGGGACGTGTCTCTATTCTTGTTTTGCTCGATCTCAGTGCTGCATTTGATACTATCGACCATGATATCTTATTGCAAAGACTAGAGCACTTAGTTGGCATACAGGGAACTGCTTTAGACTGGTTTAGGTCCTATCTATCTGAACGCTCTCAGTTTGTACGTGTCAATGATGAATCTTCCACGCAAACCAAAGTTAGCCATGGAGTGCCACAGGGCTCAGTGCTCGGACCTATTTTGTTCACATTATATATGCTTCCGTTAGGCAATATTATAAGGAATCATTCTGTAAACTTTCATTGTTATGCGGATGATACTCAACTATATTTATCAATCAAGCCTGATGAAATTAATCATCTAAATAAAATTCAAGACTGCCTTAAGGACTTAAAAACGTGGATGACCTTAAACTTTTTGATGTTAAACACGACCAAAACTGAAGTTATTGTACTTGGCCCGAAGAATCTACGAAACAAATTATCTAAAGATATACTAACTATGGATGGCATTAATTTGGCCTCCAGTGAGACTGTAAGGAATCTTGGTGTTATATTTGATCAGGATTTATCCTTTAACGCCCACATAAAATCAATTTCAAGGACCGCCTACTTCCATCTACGTAACATTGCAAAAATCAGGCATATCTTGCCTCAAAACGATGCAGAGAAACTAGTCCATGCATTTGTTACTTCAAGGCTGGATTATTGTAACTCTTTATTATCAGGGTGTACCAAGAAGTCAGTCAAGTCGCTTCAGCTGATTCAAAATGCTGCGGCTCATGTACTAACCAGAGTTAGGAAAAGGGACCACATTACTCCTGTTCTGGCTGCCTTACACTGGCTCCCTATAGAACACAGGATAGAATTTAAAATTCTTCTTCTCGCCTACAAAGCCCTTAATGGGCAGGCGCCATCTTACCTTAAAGAACTCATTATACCCTACTGTCCTACTAGGGCATTGCGTTCCAAGAATGCAGGGTTGTTGGTTGTTCCTAGAGTCTCTAAAAGTACAATGGGAGCCAGAGCCTTTTCTTATCAAGCTCCACATTTGTGGAATCAGCTTCCAGTTTGTGTTCGGGCGGCAGACACCCTATCCGTTTTTAAGAGTGCGCTTAAGACCTTCCTTTTTGATAAAGCTTATAGTTAGGGCTGATTAGATCCAGCCCCTAGTTTTGCTGATATAGGCTTAGTTTGTCGGGGGACATCTTACTTCTTCCTTCTCTCTGTCTATACCTGTGTACTCTCATGTTCCGATTAACCCAGCTTCCCCAAATGTCTTTCTTTTTGGTGTCTATATACGCCGGGATCCGGAGTCATGGATGATCCTGTGGTCCTGTGTCCTGGATCGCGAGCCCTGGATCTTGAGTCGTGGCTGTGGTCCTGGATCATAGGTCCTGGATGGATATCCTCGTGGATTCATCTTCCTATTATACACACATGCATTTCCAAACATTTGGACTACCTATGTTGCAAATGTATTATCTTTTCAATTTACACACGGCATCTATTGCACGTCTGTCCGTCCTGGGAGAGGGATCCCTCCTCTGTTGCTCTCCCTGAGGTTTCTCCCATTTTTCCCTTTAAACTGTGGGTTTTCTCCGGAAGTTTTTCCTTGTACGATGTGAGGGTCTAAGGACAGAGGGTGTCGTATTGTCATACTGATATTTTGTACAAACTGTAAAGTCCACTGAGACAAATGTAACATTTGTGATATTGGGCTATATAAATAAACATTGATTGATTGATTGATTGATTAAACCCTGAGCCTGTTTTTCAGGTTTCAGGCTCGAAAATTCCATTAACACAACACATGACCATATCTTCACATCTAAAAGGGGTAAATTAATAATCTTTTTTCTCAAAGCAAGGTTACATATGTGAGTTGGATGTAGAAGTGTCAGAATAAATATAGATGTTTTTATTTTAAAGTAAATTCAGATGGAACTTCTAATCTCCGCCTAAAAAAAACCATTACTTATAGTGAAGACCTCCCTTGAATGATGGGTTAGTAGACCAAATGCTTTAGGAATCCAAACTATAACATATAATAAGTACCCTGTATCAAGATTGATGCAAAACAAGTGAAGTATGACCTTTTTAGAGAGGTTTAGAAAAATAAAGTCCAGGCGGACTCACCGGTAATTTGGGAACCATCAGTTCGATTTGACCTTTCTCACTGTAAAAATCATTGTATTACTTTGAATTATCACAATAGGTATTCATTCCATCCAAATACAACTGTTGTAAAAAAAATTAAAATAAAAAAAAACAGCCGTCCGCTCCGTGCTCTCTGTGTTCTGCAATTCCGGCTTCCTTACGTAAGTAAACACTGCGTAGAGTCTGCTGCGTAAATATGCTGACGCTGGCTCTCATACTTTATACTTTACGCAGGACCATATCTCTGGAACCAATTGGTCGATTCGGATGATTGACACCTTTTTTTAACCATTAGATCCAATAGAATCGATGGGCAGTTCCCAAATCCACGTAAACATTACCATTGCGGAGTGATAGTGATGCAAACGAAGCATATCTGAAGGTTGAAGACCTGGACTGCTAAACTTTATACCCAGTATATTGCCATAAATATGATGATGGATTATCAGTAAAAAAATTCAACGTGACACGGAGACATTGAATTAACCTTGAGCAGCGTTTTTATTCCGTTGAACACAACTTTTAATCACAAATCAACAAAAGGTAAGACGTAATTATTGTTATGGTTTTGAAAACGGATGTCGTTTTCTTTCTCTTTTCTGGTTGATGGCTCCACGAATTCTGGTCATACAGTGATGACATTACATGTGTGGAATCTGTGGAATCTCAGCTTGCTAGACGACATCTTGTTTGTGCAGTTATGATAAGTAATAAAGGCATTTCTACCGTGAGTTCTGTGCAAAAGTTCATTAGCATTAGTTAGCATTTTTTCGCTCAGGGCTAATTCAGAGGCTTGGTATTACTCTTGTGTTTCTTTTAGCTAAAAATGGTTAATATTGTCAGTTAGCTGAGTTTCTTCCCATTAATTGGGTATGGAACATTAATAGTTTCATAAATGTTAAGAAGCCCTGAGACACAGTCTCGAAAAAAAACGCTCACGAGCGCCGATTGGAGGGGCCGTCGTGCTTAAGAGGTTAACCTATGGATTAACCTTCAGCAGCGTTTTTATCGTTTTAATGCCATTGAACACAACTTTTGATCAGAATAACAGCAAAAGGTAAGACGTTTCTCCCGTGTTTTCTCCATAAAGCTGCGTGGTGTGATGTCTGTATTTGCTTCCCATGTCGCGAGTTCTGATCGCTCAGTGATGATACTAATGGCGCATTTCCACTACACGGCCTCGCTCGGTACGGCTAGGCCTCGTTATGCACTTTATGGTGCATTTCCATTACAGTTTAGGAACTGGGGTAGTATCTATAGTAACGCAGTGTAGGCGGAGCCGTGACGTCATCTTCAATGAGAGCCCCAGAAAAAAAACACAGCCGTTAGCTGTTAGCACTCAGAGCTCACAGCTCCTCATATCTTTTCAGAAACTAGACAAAAGTTAAACAAGTACAAACCACAGACTGCCTGTGTCATGGCGAATACAGTCGCTGGTTTATTTATGTCTGTATAGGCCGTTGTTGTGAGTGTGGACGGTCGGAGCATATACAACGTTAGCTTAGCCAAGCTCCATTTAGAAAACACGCATTTTAAAAAGGTTTTTCGTCTGCCGTCTGTCTGCAGACTCAAAGCATTAATTCATGGTTTTTACTAACCGGTATCAGTATGTTGTTACTTCGGCATCATTTTGAAACGTGTATTACAATTAAATCACGGTCAAATATGTTCATCTTGTTGTAGTTGTAGCCCCCTTGCCAGCGATTCTCTCTCGAGTTTAGCATACTCAGCCCGATTCAGCCTGGTTGTTCCTGGCCCTAGAACCACGATTTTATGGGGCCAGAAAAACTGTGAATTAGGACCCGCTAGCCGGTACTAGGCCAAGTGGAAACGCAACCAAAAACGGGCCCCGCACGGCTCGGCACGCTTAAAGCGAGCTCCGCGCTGCAGTTAAAACGCGCCATAATACCCCTAGAATCTGTGGAATCTCAGCTTGCTAGCAAAGCTTGTTTGTGCAGATTTGATAAGTAATAAAGTATTTATACCTAGAGTTCTGTGCCAAGTGCGTTAGAATTGTTTCGGTCAGGGCTCATTTAGACGTTTCTTGTGAGACTTGTGTTTTGTTTTGGTAAAAATGGTTCATATCGTCAGTTAGCTGAGTTTCTTCCCGTTAAGTAGGTATCACACATTAATAGTTTATTAAATGTTAAGAAGCCCCGAGACAGTTGTGTTGAAAAAAAGTTAGCTATAGTAAAGTTAGCTATATCAGGAAATGCATCGCACTTCTGCAAATTTGAGTAATATATAATAATACACAGAATTAACACAAAGAATATACTTTATACAGAAATGGTCATAAGAAAAAGACCTGAGAGGAACTCAAGCAATCAGTAGTTTTCAATCACGACACCTATCAGAGTGCAAGCAAGAGAAATCAGCTAGCTAGCTCCGTGGAGAATTATTAAAGGTCTGCAGCGTGAACGTGTTGGTGGACTTTGAGGTTACTACGCCGAGAAAATGTTTTCCCACATTGATCACAGCTGTGAGGTTTTTCTCCTGTATGGATTATCATGTGATCCTTTAAACTTCCTCTCAGTGCAAAAGATGTATTACAAACTGAGCAGCTGAATGGTTTCTCTCCTGTATGGATTCTCATGTGTTCCTTTAAACTTCCACTCTGTGTAAAATATTTCTTACAGACCGAGCAACTGAATGGTTTCTGTCCTGTGTGGATTATCATGTGATCCTTTAAACTTCCTCTCAGTGCAAAAGATGTATTACAAACTGAGCAGCTGAATGGTTTCTGTCCTGTGTGGATTATCATGTGTTTCTTTAAACTAACTCTATGTCTAAATGAATTGTTACAGACTGAGCAGCTGAATGGTTTCTCACCTGAATGGATTCTCATGTGGTCCTTTAAACTTTCTCTCACTGTAAAAGATTTCTTACAGATTAAGCAGCCGAATGGTTTTTCTCCTGTGTGGATTATCATGTGTTTCTTTAAACGGCGATACTCTGGAAAGGATTTCTTACAGACTGAGCAGCTGAATGGTTTCTCTCCTGCACTACATCTCGAATCACTGACAGGGTCTTGTTCATTTCTCTGAGAGTTTGAACCTGGTTCTCTGGTCTTCTTCTCAGAAGAGTCTCCAGGGTTGTCCTCAGTCTCTGGTTGTAAATGTCTCTCTGGATCTGAGTTCCTGGCTGGTTCTGGTCCTCCACAGTCCTCTCCATCAGCTGTTTCCAGGTGTTCAGTTTGTCTTTGATGAAGCTGAGAGGACTGAGGTTTCTCTTCCTCATCTTCACTCTTCACAGTGACAGGAGTGAATATGGACTTGATGATATCAGCCTCCTCCAGCTCCTGAAGCTGCTCTCCCTCCTGACTGATCCAGAGTTCCTCCTGTTCCTCTTTAATGTGTGGGGGGGGCTCTGGGTCCTCCTGGTCCAGACTGGAGCTCCACTCCTGCTGCTCAGGGGGAACCTCTTCTTTAACCACCACCAGCTGCTGGACGTCTGCAGGAAACAGGAAACACACACAAAGACGTTACAAAGAATAGCTGTTGTGTTCATTACGTCACCGCTCAAAGCCCCGTTTTGAACCCCTTATTTGTATATTCCTAATTAATATCATAAATACCTATGGCTAATATATTTTTACATTTATGCACCAACAATTATCGCAGAGAAAGATAAGTATAATTGGAATGGTTTGGTATCCCTAAAGTCACATGTGGATACAGCTTGGGACCCGGACTGCCTTTTGTGTTTTTAAGGCAGCTCTAAATAGAGATATGAATGATTTAGAAGAGTAACTAGAGCTGTCAGTCAAATGAAGTGCAGTCATGGCCTTACCCACCATTACACTCAACGAGGTCCGGCCCTCTGTATTTTTTCTGAGGTGTATGTAATAAAATAAAACACTGAAATGAACAGGGCTCTATTAGACTAAGTCGTTCCTTACTTACACTGCAGAGCTTCAAGTTGGTTTCACTTGAGTGAATAAACTAGCAACATAGCTAAAGTTAATTACATTCGTCAAATGTTTTGACATTAACAATTTAATTAAACATTGTCAACGTAAACGTTTTCACTCTTGCATGTCAAGATAAAAAAAAGATAACAAGGTTTTACTGATTCTCATGCTTAACTTAAAATACATAACAACTTCAAATATCATTTATGCTGCTGCCCTCCAGAGGGAGTTTTATAGGTTTTTGCATGAATTGCTCATTCAATGTGATCTGGGGCCTCATTTATAAAAGGGATATACACTCAAAAAATGGCATACGCCAGTTTCCACGCAATGTTTGCGATTTATAAAATACGAACTTAACCGGAAAATGTGCGGTCCTCCACGCAAACTCTAACCCATGCGTACGCACAAAGCACAACAACGGGAGAGACGAGAAACTGCGACACCGTTGGCAGAAGGAAGAGTGGAGAGAAATATGTGGAAATAATTCCATAAATAAAATGTTACCTCTCATTTATCATATATGAAGAATTCATTTTCAAACATTGATTAAAGCCAATCTTAAAATTATTAAACAAACGCCTGTTTGCGACTCCTCAGTGCACACACAAACATAACTTGGATAAATAAATAAATACGGATATGTTATTTAAAACCACCTCGAATATGTTGTGTTAATGTTATGAAATGTTTTCTAATAAATTATGCGGTAAGCAGGACAGAAATACGTCTAAACTGACGCCGTGTTGCATTTCTATAGGTTGTAGCAGTGACGTGCGGTGAGGTTCATGGCTGGTGAGGCACTGACTCTTTCAGATTCAGATTTACAAATATTATATTTTGACCTTAATTGAAATATTCTGTTATTTTCAAAAGCTTTTTTAGTCTGATGTTTCGATTCAATTTAAACAGACCGTTCAACAAAAGGATACCCAACATCTAAATATTGGATTGTTCTTTCTTAGTAAGATCCCATGTTCATTACAATTGTGGTCTCACCTTGACTTGAAGATGAAGTCCATGCTATCCTTCTGGACAACAATTTCCATTACTTTTTTGTAAAAGTCCTCCTTATCTTCCCTGTAATTTCAAAAGTCTAGCTTGTTGTTTGCGTCTGCATAGAATAACAGTAGCAACAAGAACCTGTGGGCTCACGTGCGCCCCCTTCAGTGCGGCAGAGGTTATGGCTGCCTCCCCTGGTGCTTTTTTCATTGCCGTTGTATGATGAGACCAGCGAGCCTAAATATCATATATACGTGAAATAAGTTATTTAGAGACTATGGATGGCGGACACATGTAATAAAGGGATCTACAAACATTACATTGGTGACCTACAGTGATAACCGAGAGAAGATATAAACAAACAAATAGCGTGCGCGTTCCATTTTCACTCTACAACGAGAAGCTCATGGGGCTTTCCCGAACCTGTGTTGAGAGCTGAGATTAAGACACTTGTACACTTACATTTAGTGCTACAAACAATAGTTTTTACAATGACAAATTATGTGGATGATAAAGCCATTGATTGTCTTTACACTTATACAGCTTGAAGTCAAAGGGCAATACTACTCTTAAATTGTACTTTTTCGTGAGATGGTGCAGGCATGCGCTTAGGGCCCGCTTTCCAGCCAGTTTCTGTGGGGTGACGCATTCTGAGGTGAGGCAGATCTCATCTGTGCCTCACCTCACCCCACAGTAACTGGCTTGAGCGCGCTCACAAAATAAGTGCCCGCGTTAAATTAGTGCCCGCGCTCCAGCCAGTTACTGTGGGCTTACGAGAGGCAGAGCTCGTCCCTGCCTCACTTCTCATCGCTACCCGTAGTTGTAGCGGAGCTCGGCAAATTAGCTGATTTTGACTATAAAAAGCGATTGGAATCAAACAGAAATCACATTTACAACACAGATCAGTGGAGACATTTTATTATTATTACTATTTAGTTTTTCTTTAGTTGTTTTTCCGTTACATTGGAGTATGGCAGGTGAGGCTCTGCCTCCCCTGACTGCACGTCGCTGGGTTGTAGATACGAGCATGGTTTTATATACTATCACGTTTAATCTTGTTTTATGCCACTTGATAAGTCGCTCGTAAAACACAGGAGGTATGGAAACTAAGAACACCATATGTGGTAAATTGTACAGCTAATATAACACAACACATTAGTTGTATTTCCTTTAACTGGTGGATTATGGATATATAGTTGCTGATCGACAGCTGGAACACAAACCACCAAATACAAACACTCTGGAGGGATTCCCCGATCATTTCTTACAGTCTCTCATCAAGGGGGGTCTCCTGTCCCCGGTACAAACACTGCCTGAGGAATGTTATCTGTATTTTTTTTTTATTAACCTTTTTCGGACCACTTATTTTCATGACGATCCGACCTCCATGCTGCTACTCTGGTTCAAACTGCATCCACCAAACAATATGATTTATCTCGACCTCCCCAAAATAACCAACATCTGACACGGTGTGAGATGTCTTTTTTAGCTGTTCTGTCGTCATTTCCTGCTATCTTCTTCATGCAGTCAGTCAAAATGAATGAATCAATGGGCGTTTCTTTGACTATTTATAGGCAAATATGGGCGTTACGTGAGGCCCGCAAAAGCTGCGCCACATTTCGAGTCGATTGTGATTTATAAAGGGAAACAGGCGTAGGAAGTGCCGTACGCACTTCCCTCGCCGGTACGCAATGTTTGGTGAATCGGAAAATGTCTGTACCTATTTTTTTGCTTTGTACTACGTAAGCAACCTTCCCACGTCAATCCTACGCAAGGCGTTATAAATGAGGCCCCTGATCTTCATGTAAGTCACAATTATAGACAAACACAATCCGTTTCATTTGTAGAACACACATGTATTCGTGTCCATTTTGATTAAATCACTAAAAGTATGTGACGTCCTAGAATTTAACAAAAACTAATTGAGTCAGGAGTTAAAACACTTAGTTTTAATCAGTGAAACACGATAAGAAGTGCTGTTCCAGCGTTAACTTGTAAAAATCCTTCAAACATTATTATTTGCTATTAACAAGTTTTAACTTTTTTTTAACGCAAAAAAAAGATATCGGAAGACCTACGAGGAAGAATGTTTGATTTCACCAAAAGTTAGGGATGCACCGTTAGGAGTACGAGTACATGAGGACAGTATCGGCCTGATACCCGTTAATGGGATCGGTATCGTTGCATCCCAAATAAAACACAGAGGGTTACAAATAAATATCAAAGAGTTGAGATATTGATGAAGATGCAGGTTATGTATAATGGGTTACAGAAGTGGTTCTCAAACTTTTTCTGTCAGGCCCCCCCTTTTGGAGAAAAAAAAAAGTCGGGCCCCCCGCAACACAAATAGTCACGTAATGGGCCAAGTTAAAGGTGAGGTAGGTAATTTTGGAGAAACCAGCTCGAGTGCGCTAGAATTTGAAAATACACAGCCGGAACAAATCTGCCACTTCCTCACAGAGCCCCTCCTCCAACACACACGAACGCGCACATGACCAATGAGGGCACGAGATAAGTTAGTAGACAGATGGAAAGCTGACAGGCAGGTAGGCCATCCAGTTACTTTAGCCGGCTCAGATGATTGGTCGTGCTTTTTACAACGCCACGGCTTCCACAGATGATGTTTTTTATGGATTTTTTGTCAAAGCACTTCAGATATTCATTGCTATCGGGATGTTAAGAGCATTCCATGGAATATAACAAAAAGTGTATCTCGAGCCGGTTTCTCAAACGTACCTACCCCACCTTTAACATTTATTAAAATACATCAATATGAACGTGAGCATTCCTTTAAAAAAAATAAAAAAAACTTTGCGAGAACAGTGATAATAAAACAATGTTCCATAAGTCTGTGTGCTCAACAAATAAATACATAATACAATTGTGCAATCCCTTTGCTAGAACCATAAGTTATAATACTTTGCAATCCGTGCCAAAAAATGAAAAGAAAGAAAATGCTGATATTTGGCGAAAAAGTGTGTCTTATCACATTTCTTCAAAACGGGGTTGTTCTACTGCAACACTCCCCACGCAAATACACAGTACACCCGCGACTGTTACAATGAAGGCTCGATAATCAGCTCACGGTATATAGGTGTAAGCAGGGGTAAAGTGCTATTTTTATAGGTGGTGTGTGGACCTCACATAGGGGGGTCCGGGGGTAAGCTCCCCCGGGAAGATTTATTTTTAAATATTGAAGTTAAAAGCATCAATCTGGTGCACTTTGAGAGCACCATGAAGAGATCTATGGATACCTCTCTCAACACCCATTTGAAACAGACCTGGAAACAGATTTACTTTTTATTTATGGATATTTTACAAATCACCCTTTTAAACTTTATTCTTTTTTTACTGTCATATAGTATTTCATACCTGTTCATTTATTCTCTTATTTTTTATAACTATAATGATCATATAAATGTGTGACTCGGAAATAATTGTTTACATTAATGGTGACCATACCGTTTGAGACCCACTGAGATAACTTAGACTAAAGTTAGGACTCTCCTCCACCTTGTTGTTGAAAAAGCTCCTTATATCCGTTAGCGTAGCTCGCTAGCACCAGAAGCTAACAACAACGATCTCCGGTACCGGTTTGCTCTCTCTCGCGCGCACGCACACAAAATGGCTCGTTCTAAACACAGACAGAGCCAATGAAATGAAACAGAGACCCAGACATACTTGTAGTGTAGTATATTATTTTCGAATAAATAAAATATCAAATTATGAATGTATGAATTTTTTTTTTTTGTCATAACAATTTTCCCTCCCGGTCAAGGCATAATTTTAAAGGATTAGAACTGTCAGTCTTCTGTAACTTTCAAGTCAATCGGAGGGGGGGAGGGGCGTCTCCTCTCCTCTGTGATGAGCTGCTGCTGAAGGAGGGGCGGGGCAGGCTGCAGGACTTCTGCCCCGTGTAGCGGATGTCTGCAGGATCAGTAAATGAAATCCAACATTCTGGGGAGGATGTTGTTTATATTTGTGACTTTGTTCTGCGGCTGCTCCTGTTAACTTCCAGAAACTACGCTCAACTTCCCGCTCGCTCTACACATGCACGCGCCACACACTTCCCCCCCCCCCCAATAATTAAAAATTACATTTTTAATATAAATAGCGCTGACTTGCTTGTAGAACCACGCTACACAAAGCAGATAGCAACACCAATAACAACTGAAGCATAGACATTCAAAAAAAGGACAGCTACTGTATCGACATTTTAAAAGTGTATTTAAAGAAAAAGCCCTAACAAAACAGCAGGGCTTTTAACTAAAGAAAAAAAGACAGCAGCAGCTGACATCAAATCTTTGCTGAGCCTAAAGATAATCATAATAAATGAATAGTGAAAATAAATATATTGCAATGCTCAAAACAGCAGCATCCAACCGTCTCTAATCCTTGGATGTTACATGTCACTGCATGCATGCACTGAGCACCCGTAGCACGGAGATCATCATATCATTCTGCCAAAAAAGAAAAACGGCTCGTTCGTGGGCGCGAGCCGGCTCCCGTCGTTCACTTAAAAGAGCCGGCTCGTTCGCGACCGACACATCACTAATCACAAGGATACTGGTAGGGATCGGGCTATTGAGGGTGTTGCGCAGTGTGTGTGTCGTGGACATGCGTGTGCGTGCATGAAAATGTATTGTAAGTGCATATATTCTTGCCTGGTTCGGTTATTGGTGGGTTAATGTTCACAATGCAAAGCTTACTCTGCAATAGAAGGCAGTTAGCAATATTCGCTAACTTTGCTATGATGATCACGGGACAGCATGAGGTGCGGCCGAACCAGGCGACGCTCCCTCAATGTGCATAATGTACAACGTAACGCCCAGTTGATGCAGGGCCAATGTATGGAGTGTTCTTTATATTATAGTCGTTATATATATTTCATTGTGTGCCTTCCTGTATATTGTTCATGTGTGATTACTTATAATAGTTAATTACTTAATTGTAATAACCTGTCATTTCAATCGTCATTCTGTTGCGGCCTTTGGCCAATAGAGGGCAGCATACGCCAGCTAATTGTGCCATTTCTTTATCTACCTGATTTACTGTCTAACAATGTCACTGGTCATTATCCCTCTATAATACCTGTTTATCTATTATGTATCTTTATATTACAGATACCACACCCAATTACTATTGCATGTTCAATTCACTACCCTGGAGAGTCAATAAAGTTATTAAAGTTAGAATAGCCTGTGGACAGCCGTTCTTCCTCGCAGACAGTCGCCGCTGTAACTACCCGATCTGCATCCCTGCCCGATCTGCATTGCGCATGTGCGAGATGGTCCGCTATATTGGACAACTCCGTACGGCAACCCAAATAGGACACTTGACACAGTGGCGTTTGGCAAAGCACAAATTGAATGGATTTAACTTCTGTTAGACATGTTACATTTTTGCATACATTCACAGTAAATATTTATTCAGTATGATAGCTGTCTGACAGAAGTTAAATTCATTTCTCACTTATTCTGACAATGTACTTAACCCCAAATAAAATAACCCAATAAAAAGAGTTGTTAAATAATAGTGAAGTCACGTTGTAATAACAATAACTCATCTCTCGGTTTTTTTAGTTTTGCCAAACGCCACTGTGTCAAGTGTCCTAGTTGGGTTTCCGTACGAGAGTTGTCCAATATGGCGGACCATCTCACACATGCGCAATGCAGATCGGGCAGGGATGCAGATCAGGTAGTGACAGCCATCACCTTCGTACAGAGGACAATCTAGCTGCAGCACGACCCGTATATTTTCACAAGCCGTGTTGTCAACACTACTATTACAGTATATACAGTAAAACATCGGCAAAATTAGTACTCTATACATTGGCATCGGCTGACATTTTGTTAATTGATACATCCCTACTAACGATAACAAAATGGAGGTGGGACTTGGCTTGTCCACTGCTCCTAATACTACGATGGGATAAATGCAGAAACCTGGGCAGCCGATTTGACCTGGGGGCTTAGACTTTGAATCGAAGGATCACCGGTCCCGATCAGACCAAATACAGAGCGTGGAGGGGTACCTGGAGTGGTACCAGTACACCTCCTGGGCCACAGCGGAGGTGCCCTCGAGCAAGGCACTGAACCCTCAGCTCTGGGGGCTGGCAAACTGGCTGCCCATTCACTCTCCTATCCTGCATGGGGTTCAGTTTCGGCATGTGTTCATGTGTGGGTACAAATAAAAGTTATTTCCCTGTTGGGGATAAATAAAAGTATATATTGTACCTTCAACAAACTTGGTACAGTGAAGGTAAAGAGTAATGAAAAGAATAAAGACTATAACAAAAAAAGTAGAGAAACAGGAGAACTGCTTAAACAGTCAGCCACTCACGGTGGCGTCAACACGTTGTAAAGGACAGGCTAAGGGACGGGACATCGCTAAGTGGTCGGCCAATCACAACAGAGCCGGCCAGCTAACCAATCAGAGCAGAATGGGCTCTGGTTTCAGATAGAGGGTGAAAAGTGGCAGTATGAGAAAAATAAAGATATTTTTTAACATTAAAGCATGGAGACATGTCGCAGTGAAGACAACATACTAATACCAACCTGAAAATGAACAGAATATGTCATCTGTGTCGTTGTCCTCAGTCTCTGGTTGTAAATGTCTCTCTGGATCTGAGTTCCTGGCTGGTTCTGGTCCTCCACAGTCCTCTCCATCAGCTTCTGTTTCCATGTGTTCAGCTGAGCTGCTGGCTGGAGGCTCTGCCTCTCTGTTCTCCTCAGTTTGAGTTTGATGAAGCTGTGAGGACTGACGACCAACACACTTATGGGTTTTGACCAGATTACCCCGGATAAATCTTTTATCACAAAAACTACAATGGAATGGTTTCTCTCCTGTGTGGATTCTCATGTGTCTCTTTAAATCTCCTCTATGTTTTAAAGACTTCTCACAGACTGAGCAGCTGAATGGTTTCTCTCCTGTGTGGATTATCATGTGTCTCTTTAAACCTCCTTTCTGTGTAAAAGAATTGTTACAAACTGAGCAGCTGAATGGTTTCTCACCTGTGTGGATTTTCATGTGTGTCTGTAAACTTGATTTCTGAGTAAAATAATTGTTACAAACTGAGCAGCTGAATGCTTTCCTTCCTGTGTGGGTGCTCATGGGTCTATTCAGATGTAACTTGCTGCAATTTTCTTTCCCGCACTGAGAGCATCTAAAGCGTTTCTTTCTAGCACTATGTCTTGAATCACTGACAGGCTCTTGTTTATTTGAAGCTGACACAGGTTCTCTGGGCTCCTTCAAATCTCCACTGTCTTCAGTGTCAGGTTCAGAAGAGTCTCCTGGGTTGTCCTCAGTCTCTGGTTGTAAATGTCTCTCTGGATCTGAGTTCCTGGCTGGTTCTGGTCCTCCACAGTCCTCTCCATCAGCTTCTGTTTCCAGGTGTTCAGTTTGTCTTTGATGAAGCTGAGAGGACTGAGGTTTCTCTTCTTCATCTTCACTCTTCACAGGGTCAGGAGTGAATGTGGACTTGGTGATATCAGCCTCCTCCAGCCCTTGAAGCTGCTCTCCCTCCTGACCGATCCAGAGTTCCTCCTGTTCCTCTTTAATGTGTGGGGGGGGCTCTGGGTCCTCCTGGTCCAGACTGGAGCTCCACTCCTGCTGCTCAGGGGGAACCTCTTCTTTAACCACCAGCTGCTGCTGGACGTCTGCAGGAAACAGGAAACACATATTCAGAGAAACTGTAGAATATTAGAATTTAAATTCTAACCACGAGTTACACTTCATTAACTTTGAAGCCCATTCCTTATTTTAAATGCTTGCCTATTGATTTGCTAAGTCCGGCCCACTTTGTATGTCTGTTGGCTCAATAGTCAGTCAATTACACTTTTTTTCCAGATGCTCTGGAGAGTTTCAGGACAACAGGTGAGTTAGTACTGTAGCTGATCTAAAACATAGTAACAGTGCTTAGTTTGGACAGGGAGAGTGTGGAGGCGAAGTTTCTACTTTTCTGTTTGCAGATATAAGTTGCTACATGTAGGTTTGAGTCATTCATGCTAATGTTAGTTAGCAGGGTTAGCTCTGTATTTACTGGCTGTATGAGATGTTGGTCTGTTTTTAGTGATTATTTTAGACAGTCGGAGGGGCCTCCTATTAAGGCACTGCTAGCTGTACCCTTCATTTAACACGTAGAAAATAGGCAGGAGTAGTACGAGACAAGATCTCAAAATCCTGAAATTCTTCTGGAAATCCTGAAACTTTTCTAAAATGTCAGAGTGCTGACTTTTTTCAGAAAATATCAAAACTCTGACTTTTTTCTCAAATTGAAAAGTCAAATTAGTGACTGTAGTTAGACCAACGGTACCCGGTCACCTAATACCATTACCGGCCTGTGGGAAACACTTAATCATAGCTCATGACAGAGATGGAGTACTTGAGTGCCGATTTTCGGGACTCGTGACTCGACCTCGCTCACTGATTGACACAACTCTGACTCATGAATTCTCGCGCACGATGACTTGGTCTCAGACTCGGACTCGTGAATTTTCCCCCCACGATGACTCGGACTCGACTTGTACATTGACGCTCCGACTTGGACTCGAGCAAGTTTTCTCTGGAGTCTGATGCCCTCTATCCTGGCGTGTGTACCTGCGAGGCGAGTTCACGTACTGGGCCCCGCTATTCCAGTCCAGAGACACACCCTGCATCGTGCTGTATGCTTTCACACATTCTGCATTGGGAAAGAGCAGCGCAAAATGCTCGTTATGTGGAAAGAATATTGAAGAGAAGGCTCCGTAACACATTACTCTAAGGATCCAGTTCAGACATGGCTGTCTTGAACACGATCAGAGTAACGTGATCTAATCAATAAATAAAGATTTAGCCGATAACACGAAAGCAAATGGCTACTTAAAGGTCTCATGTCATGGCCATTTCTACTAATCATAATTCCATTGTTGAGGTCAACTAGAATATATTTATATTGTGCAATTTTCCGAACTCACATTGGTTTCTCATACAGCATCTCTGTGTAGTATGTGTATTCACTATCTGTCCTAAACGGCTTGTTGGAGCTCCTGGCCCCCCCCCTATGAGCCCTGGTGGCCGTCTGCGAGACAGCGAGACACAGCCCGAAACCAGCCCGAACACACACACCCCCGCAGTCTGGCTGGGAGTTTGTGTGTGTGCTCACACACCGACTCACAGCCTCGCCGCGTCCTGCCGTCTCAGGGAGGAGAAATCGGCGGAGCTGCAGCTGAGAAAAGATTGAGTGTGTGTGTGTGTGAGGAAGTCCGCGGATTGGACTTAACGTAACGGCTCCACGGATTGGTCCATTTGGGTATGGGCACGTCACTGTACCCCAGGAAGAAAACAATGGAAATAGAGCAATCTCCAACGAGGCGTTCTGGGGCAGCATAGACAGGTATTTTCTGTGTTAGAGTTTTACTCTTTTAACATGCAGAATGACGTCATTTTGCATACAATTATTATAGTGAATGTTTAAATTCTATCAATAAAGATTAAGCCCCAGAAAGCACATGGCTACTTAGTAGCGTCCCCGGCTGAATGATGGTCAGACTCTCCAACTGATGGTATCTGTTTATTGCACACCCTTGCTTTTATACAATCATTACCAACGTAATAACTTGTGCCCTTATCAGACGGGTGCTAAAATCAGAATGCAACTATTTAGTATGTGTTAATTTATTCGTCGATTTCTGAGGTCTCAAGGTTGGCAAGTATGGTCCCAGCGCATCGCAGTTTCTCCGCTGCGAGACGCACCCGTCCCCCCACCCACCCCCGGTCCCTTTGTAACTGGGAAACTGATAGAATTGGATCATAAGATTGTGGTGTTTTTGCAACTTCGGCATAGGGGATTGGTATGTTTATTGAACTTCGGCTTTCAACTGATTTACCTTCGAAACACCGCTCACTGCTGCTGTTTGCCTCTGTCTGCGTCTGCGTTCTTCGCACCTGCCTGTAATCTGAGAAGGTCCCGCCTCTCTGGCTGGCTGCAGCCCGGAAAATCTTTAAAGCACAGAACTCACGGTAGAAATACTTTATTACTTGTCGGATCTGCACGTAGCTTTACTGAGCCAAAACGGCAAATATGTCTTACCTTTGCTGTTTTTCTGATCAAAAGTTGTGTTCAATGGCATTAAAACAACAAAAACGCTGCTGAAGGTTAATCCATAGGTTAATCCAATGTCTCTGTGTCCCTTTAAAATGATTACTGATAATCCATCGTAACATTTATGGCAATAAGCCTAGTTTTCCGTTTTCAGAGCGTAACATAGCTTTCGGTTTGGGCAAACTGCGTGCGCATCACTCTCACTCCTCAGTGGTAACGAGTAGGTGTATTTTAGGAACTTCCCCTCGATTCTATTGGCTCTATTCTGACTTTTCTACATCCAACTCACAGGTTTATCATTGCTTTGAGAAAAAAGATTATTCATTTAACCCTTTTAGAAGTGAAGTTAAAGTCATTTGTTCTGGGAATGTCTAAAAGTCTAAGGCTGGAGCCACACGAGGACAATAACTCAAACGGACCAAAATCAATATAAAAAAAGTATTCCGTCCACACGCAATAGGCACCAGAAACGTGTCCGTTCACACGAGACCGCTCGAAAGCGCTGGAGACGCTGTAGTACAAATGCCGGGCCTGTAAATGGCGCTGTACTCCTGCCACAAAAGCAGCGAAGAAGACTTCCCACTATGGGTGTAACAGTATACGTATCCGTACCGAAAATATTCGTTATGGGCCCTTCGGTTCGATACACGTGTAACGAATAGAACGTTAAACGTAACAAATTGAGAACGTGAACAACTTCTTGGAAGTAATCTCAGGTGCTGCGTCGCAGCATTCAGTGTAATTTGCTCACATTGGGTTCAACACGTCATAGAGCGACCAAGTCATTTAATTGGACGAGAGGCACACTATGAGAGCTGGTCAGAGGGATGCGTTCAGATTTAGTCAGTCATTTGAGGAACTGTCGAAATGGTGAACGCAGATCAAGTTGAGCTGAAAATCCTCCAGCATCATTGAAGTCTCCGGTTTGGGAACATTTTGGTTTCACAGTTACGAACAAGGATGACGGACAAAGACAGGTGGACCGAACCAAAGCTGTTTGTCGGCATTGTTCAACTAACATTGGTTACGCGGCTGGCAATACATCAAACTTGCACACTCTTGAAAAGGCATCACCCGAACGTGAATATCACCGGTACCAAAAGAAAAATGACTGAAGTGCAAACCCAACTCCCGCTAGCATTTAAGCCTCCACCACTCGCAGAAAGTTCAGACCGAGCCAAAGCTATTACAAGTTAATTTTTCTTTAAAAAAAACATGAAAATACAATGACAAGCAAGTCATAATGTCAAACTGGCTGCTTAGGTGCTAGTACATTACAGTTCAAATACAGATTATTTCAGTTCATCGAAATGCTGCACCTTAATGTCTATTTATTTTGTATATATTTGAGTGAATATTCAGTTTAATAATAATTAAAAACCCAAAACTAATAATGTTATGTTTTGTGCGTAGCCTACTAGTACAGTAAAGTTGAAATACAGATTATTTCAGTTCATCGAAATGCTGCACCTTAAAAGGTGGGGTAGGTAATTTTGATCAGGGCGGACGTAAGCTAACAGAGAATGTACAATTTTTTGACGATTTACATGTCGCAAATGACTCCAAACTACTCGCAAATAGTTTTCCCGATATTCACGAAACGCTGTATACACATTGCTATTATGATGGCACACATATTTCAGATGGCTTTTTATTAGCCCCGCCCCCCAAAAAAAGGGCAATTTTGAAAGATGGCCGTTTTTCATGCATTTTGAGCACATTTTTGCACACTGCTCTTAGGGAAATTATCGGAAAGATTCCACTCCAGGACCAGTTCAGCCCATATCCGCAGCCATGCTAAATTGGGAATAACAAAGTTGCTAGCTCAATCGAGGTGGACGTAAGTTAACAAAGAATATACAATTTTTGACGATTTACATGTCGCAAATTACTCCAAACTACTCGCATATGGTTGTTCCAATATGCATGAAACGTTGTATACACATTGCTCTTATGATTGCGGACATCTTTCAAATTGCCTTCCATTTACCACACAGAAAATCGGCCATTTAGAAAAATGTGCAGTTTTCATGCATTTTCTGCACATTTTTGCTAAGGCCTCCTAGGCAAATGGCCGGGAAAATTCCATTCCAGGACAAGTTCAGCCCATATCCAATGCGATGCTACATAGCGAAGGACTAGTCAGTTGCTCAAACGGGGAGCTCACAGGCTACAATGTACCAATTCCCAATATTTAGATGTCAGATAAGCTACTCTGCCTTCCACATCATCTGTCTCTCACACACACTGCTGGCAATGGTGTTGAGTGTTAGTCCAGTATCTCCCTCTGCTGGCGGCACATGCAATTACCGCAACACACACACACACACACACACACACACACACACACACACACACACACACACACACACACACACACACACACACACACACACACACACACACACACACACACACACACACACCACACACACACACACACACACACACACACACACACACACACACACACACACACACACACACACACACACACACACACACACACATCACACACACACACACACACACACACACCACACACACACACCACACACACACACACCACACACAC